GCAGAAGGTCAAGTTAAAAGGAAAAAAAAAAAAAAAAAAAAAAAAAGAGGCTTTAGAGAATACCTTTAAAGCTTTTAAACGAACAATAGATCCAGACTTTCTGAAGAGTCCCTCGGTATTAATGTGTTCTTCCAATATTCACATGGAATCAACAAGAAAGCTGAGGAAAGAACAGTAACATACTTCTGACACCCAGAATAAAACTTTTTTTTTCCCCCCAGAAAAACTATTTCATGATAAATAGGTAAAACTTAATATATAGGAAAGTTTTCCCCCAATGACAAGAAGCATAAAGAAATACAACTGAATGATAGCCGTGGCTTTGAATTCCCCATCTAACTTCTGCATCCCTCCTTCCCCACCTGCAACTATTCTTATATCCCCCATGAGCTTTATCAGGCCTGGAATAAATATCATGCTTCCTCTTCTGACAAGAGTTCAATACTATAAAGAGAGCAAAGTAAGCATAAATCTAAATACACAGTGTTAATTTACCTCGGAATATAACCATATTCTGGCACAAGTGATTGCGGTAACGCATGAAAAGATATTCCAAAGATTTTACCCTAAAACACAAAATGCAATTAATGTTATTCAAAAGTTGATAGGGTTACCAACTACATATTACAGAAAAGCACGCATTCCACAAAGTACAAACAGAAGGGTAGTTAAGACAAAAAACAAAGTCTTTCAGATAAGGTAGGTAAGAGGTATTGTCAGGAAAAGCACTATCATCTCTGGATATCTGAGCCTATGCTGATTCTAGTTACAAGTAACACCCTAGATTACTGTGAAAGAATAGAAAGGTCTTCTGCAGTATGTTTTGCACTTTTTATTTTACAAGGAGTCAGTCTTCCTATAAGGCCCCCAAATCAGTAAGGATATTAAAGAGACCGTTCTGGAATCTCACCTTACCTTTTCAAATTGACTAAATCCTATTTTTCTTAAAAATGAACACAACACATTTGAAATAACTTTTTTTTTTTTAAAGTTTTTTTTTTTCTTCATCTGAGGCACTCAAGATTGCTGTTTCAGGAAGGATTAAACTCAACTGAATAGTCTAGAAAACTGTTCTGAACTCTCATATTTAGCATTTGTATTTAAGAAACTGTTATAACTCTACTGCCTTATAGCAAGACATCAGAGTATCTGTTACATACTAGAAAATAAGCAATTTCTTCAGTCATTACTACTGATGCTCACCTACAGCATTTTTTTTTAAATGTTTACCTGAGGTTACTGCACAGTTGTTTCAGTTATAAAAGCCCACATTTCAATGTAACAACTTGTACTTTTTTTTCTTTGCCCCACCTCTTTTCTATTTATATTTGCAGAACATGCAAGCCAGCCCCTCCCCCAACCAGAAGGGGATTAGGATCGTGCGGAACTTGTTATCAGAGATGAATGCAACTCTTGGTCATTTATACGTGAAATTCAAAGTGCTGACCATGTTGGGAAACTAGTTAATCAATAACTAACCCATTAGGCCACCTTGGGCCTGTCTGTCCTACAGAAAACAAGCATAACAAGATAAGGAAAGAGAAGCAACACGTTTGTCATTGTATTCCAGGTTGCTATTAAAAGTACAAAAAGGTAAACAACTCCAAGATATAATGTTTTTCTGTATTTACAAGATTATGTAATAGAGAATTCCAGTGGCTTGTAATTCAACATTTAAAATTCGTAACTGATATCCTCACTTTACCAGGTTTTGTTTCAAATATCAGAAGTTGTGATTTAAGTTCTTAAAATAAATGTATGTCTGTTCCCTTACAATAGAAATAGAATGCCCCCTGGCAAAACAAATGTTACTCTATACCTTTTCCTACCTTGCTCAGTTGTATTTAAATATACATTTTCTTCCCTGTATAAAATTTAAGCACTACAGACAGCTATATAGACATCTTTTATTATGACATACATATATTATTCACAGTTCTTATTACCTTCCCTTCAAATAAAAAAAAAAAGTCTAGAACCACGTGCTTGATGTTGACAAGGGGGAAGAAACTAATTCTAACTTTACTCTTGCTCTCCCCCTTTCCAAACAACCCAACTCAAGCATGTGTTTTCGCAACTTCTTTGGTTTATATTGACCAAGGGTTACTGCAGCATTTTGCAATATCTTCTCAGCCTTACAGAAAGCTCGTTCTGAGAATGTTCCGTTCTGTGCCATATCAGTTGCACAGGGATCTTAAGACTTGATAGCGGTCCGCGCTGTATAAATTAGAGTCTACCAGAAGATCCGTGTTCTGAAATGGACTTCAATGCTGTATAAACTGGCACCATTATGATACTTCAGTTTTAAATAAGAGTCCTGAGACAGAAAACACACTTTTTTCCTTCAACGTATTCAAAGTAGGTATTTAAGATAACAGGACAGATTTCATTCCTCAGAGCACAGGCAAATCAAGGCCAGATCTGTCTGTACCAAAATACCCACAGTCATGTCTTATACTAAGAAACCATGCAAATAAAGCCCTTCAAACCAAAAATTTAAAGAACCAAGTAAAGTAAAAGACATAAAGCTTTTAGAAACTACAGAGTAGCTATGTATTCCAAAAAATAATACAACCATTAAGATTTAAATTCCATAGTGAGTGACATTAAGCGGAGTAAAGTGTAAAAAGCTCTCGCATAGACCAGAGGCATGCACGCGTGTTTGAGAGAGTATCAACTGCATTAACAAAAGGAGGAACGCATCTCGTTCACCATCTGGTCTGCCTTGCAACATTCAGGTCCTAAACGGGCGGGGGGAACGCAGCATCACTAAACCATTACCTTACTAAATCACAACATGCCTATCCTGACGACCGTCTGGAGCACTTGCTCGCTGAGGAAAAGGGGGAAAAAACGACTTTCCCCATTGCAGGGATGAAGACGTTTCCCCACGGGGGGAGGTTATGCCCTGCCGGGGGCTAGCAGGAGCAACAGCGTTACGATAACGTCACTGACGCCAGAACCGGTGGCCACCCGGCCCCACCGGGGACAGAAGACCGGCTCCCGGACCCGCGTGAGCTTTGCTCCCACAGCGGCCACCGCCGCCGCG